CCGCCATTATTTTGGTGTGAAATCCTTTCACGCTGTCACACTACCACATATACAACATCCGTCCCATTGGCCACACCAAAATAATGGCGGATGCGCGGAAAGGATCGGCGCAAAAGTTATACTAGTTGTACTGGTAGGTCCACTTCGTCATTTGCTTCGTTTTGCGTCGATCCCTTCTGCGCATCCGACATTGTTCTGGGCAGACCAACGAGAGAAAAGTTGTATGTGGATAGTGTGGCTTCGGCGAGCACGTGTACACACATCCTGGCCCGAGTGCATGGCGGAATACCACGTGATCGGGACCGAAAAGATCAAAGGGGCCGACAGAGAGTGGACCTTACTAGTTATACTATGACGTCACTGTGAGATTCGTGTCACCGAGGCAATTTCTCTCTTCGTCATCGAAGGCCCTTCCCCGCGAATTGGCCGCATCGATCGCGAGTCGCGGGAACGCGATATTCCTGCACGAACGACGAACCGATAGCGGGTCGGATCCGCATCGGTGCGCCGAAGCCGATAGGCTCGCCGTTTTCCGCGTCCGCGTAAAACGAAGTACCGTGAAGATCGGGAAGCCACGATTAACGGAGATTGGACGAGATCGTGCCGAGTACGGGTGAAGTTCGGAGCAACGAGATCGATGTAACGAGACCGCCTCGGGGTGTGTCCCGGGTGTGTGTTGGCCCAATGGAGTTTACTCGGTGTAATGATAATCAGATAAGTTGGACTTCCTGCTTCGGGCGATGCCAAGTGTGTACGTACGGGACGTGTATACATATATCTGACAATGCGACGACATCTTTTTCGATTAGAGCTGCGAATAAAAACGCATCTTGTCTGCTCTGTAATTTTATTCGTCTCTTTATCATGCTTCCTAATTCTTCCGGCTGTTTTGATAGGAATAACGCTTTATAATTAATACGAGTTGGAAAGAATTGTAGAGACAAGCCCGAGCAACGTTTAATAAATGTTTAAAATTTAATACGTATTTATAATCATTAATGGCTATTTAAAACCAATTAATAAACATTATAAAAAGTTTTATAAAATCTTTTTTAGTACGATACGATAAAGAACTTTAATCATAATGAACAGCAATTTCTTCAGTGTTAACGTACGAAATCGAATCAGCCATTGAAGATTGACTGAAACAAGCCAAGAGTTACCTACGTCGCGCATTTCTTAATTTCTTAATCATTTCTTTGTGATAATTTCCTAGTAAATCTCTGTATTATTTTCATAAGTAGTAAAATAATAATAAATTTATGTCATTATTCAAAATAGTTGTGGGGGAAAATTTATATAACGTATATAAATTTATAAATAAGGTTGTGTGTATTCAAGGTTGTGTTGATTTTTTTATAAATTTGTCATTCAAAATAGTTCTATGGGAAGGGTTTACATAAATATGTATATAAATTTATCAAGGTAAGCAAAAATAAATTGACAAAGGCGAACAAAAATATAATAAGTTTATAAATTTGTATACGTCTTATATTAATTTTTGTTAAACGGAAATTAAATCTAAATAATGTCTTCTTTAATAAACGTATTTTTTATACTTTATGAAAACTATCGGCTGAACGTTCTTTTGACATTTATTAAACGTAAATAATGTGCTCGGGAGGTGTTAAAAAAACAATATAGACAACACGTCTCATAAGTTGAAATAAAATGAGATGTTATAATAAATATTCGCTGACGTTATATAATCGCATTAAGAGGTAAAGTAAACCGCCTTATGAATAAGAAATGAATTCACTGGATGATAAATTTCGGTTGTCAGCGATCCTAGAGGTCACACGCAATACTGACATAGCAAAAAGGTTTCCTGTACACGCTCCTGCGATTTATCAAGAATCACTACGAAGTATGTTCACTCTGAGAAAAATCGTTGAGTTCACTTGTCAAAATTGGATTAACAGAAAAACTAAATTAATTACGGACTCTGATGTTCTGTTATACTGGATGGATATGTAATATACTATTGCATGTTGAAGCGTCGTTAACGGAAGATGTGTTAGATTAATGTATCGTACTCTGTAACTGGCCATTTATAACTGTTGCAATTATCGCTAACAGTCTCCATGTTAACAATTTCCGATGGCTACAATTAGAATCGTTAGCTAGTGTTCGTCATTCGTTGTCGACGATTCGAAAACGACATGCGGTGACGCATCGTATATTTTCAGATTCGGAAGAGACGCGTTTTCGTCGCATTGTGTTCCCGCCAACTAAAATAAAGTGTCCTGCGATTAGAAATTACTCGACCTTCACGAAGTCGTTGATCTTCGGCTACCGTCGATGTATTATGCATGATGCAGAGTCAATGACTCTGACCGGACGCATCTCCGTCTTCGGGAGAAGAGGAATCGGTTGTCGCCGATAGAACCGGCGAGACTTTAAATGTCTCGTTTTTATGCCGTCCACGTACGAACTGTGCTACGTATTACATGCGGTCCTCAAACCGTCGCCGCGTTGTTTCGTGAGCGAGTTTCACGGTTGCATCACGATGCGTCACAAAAAGAAGAGAGGAAGAGAGCGAGAGAGCGAGAGAGAGAGAGAGAGAGAGAGAGAGAGAGAGAGAGAGAGACATGGGGAGCGAGAAACACCCTCTCTGAAAAGTTTACAATTCGAGATATCGCGTGGAATTTGCGTCTCGCCGGCAAAAACGTTTTATCTCGAGGCAAACACGAGACGCGTCCGAGGTGGTCCAGTATCCCGTCTGCGCAGAATAATCTCGGGCGGAAGCGGCCAACTCCGAATGTATTATACTTTCGGCCCCTTGTTTTCGGAGAGATTATACAATCTAATCTGGGTCCATGAAGACTAGAGACCAGGACGCTCAACTGATATGGACGGATGCGTCAGATTCTCAGCCCAACAGCATAGTATAATCACAGTATTGTATAACCAGTAGGTCCACTCTCTGTCGGCCCCTGTGATTTTTGTGGTCCCGATCACGTGGTATTCCGCCATGCCTTCGGTCCAAATCCAGCAGCGTATGTGTGTGTACTCGTTAAACTAACACTACCACACATATAACTTTCTCTCATTGGTTTGGTGGTTGACTGGGCCAACAAAATGTTGGATGTACAGAAGGGATCGACGCAAAACGGAACAAATCGCGGAGTGGACCTACTAGTTATACTATGGCTATACCGTCATTTGTTTGATTTTGCGTCGATCCCTTTTACACACTCAGCATTGGCGGATTTTGGCCAAACCAATGAGAGAAAAGTTGTATGTGCGGTAGTGTAACTTTGATAAGTACGTACACACATACACGCGCGCCGTTGGATTTGGGCCAAAAACATGGCGGGATATCATGTGATCGGGAAAATCAATGGGCCGACAGAGGATGGACCTACCAGTTACACTATGCCCAAAAGTGTTTGTCGAAGCTGGGACGAAATCCTAATCCGAGATGTTGCTTCAGTTGCACGTAGCAAGTAGTTTTCACGTACACGGTGTGGGTGATGCTAGTAGACTCGGGGTAAGCGGGTGTACCCGTTTATTCCCTTCCGACTATCCGATTATCAACGGTTTGTCGATCGCCAGCGCCTTTGAACTGCCAAATAAACCAGGTTTTGGTCCTATTCTCGAGAGCATAAGTCGAGTCTCCTGGTCTCTGGTCTTCACGTTTAGGACAATCCAGATAGAGAAAGAGGCGGGGGGGGGGGGAGAAGGAGAGAACCTCTTTGTTGGATCATCAATTTTCTCCGAAGTCGTCGGCGTCGCCGGTGCTTCTCCGACAGAAAATTCCCGGTATAGCGAAAACGTAGCGCCGTGTGACTCACCGCCCACGCTCCGTGTAATGAAAAATTCTAATCCCGCGAGTCGCGACCCCGGGTGAGTTTTCCCCGGTCGAATCCACCCGGGCACCGGAATCGCGGACTCATCCTCGCATTAACTCGGTCATGCATTATTTACTCCAGGAAGTTATTCGCGCCCGAGTTGATTGTGCGAAAATTAAATCGCTCGGGTGAATTCCTACCTCTACGTGCGATCGCGCGGCCGGCGCGAGCGATTTAATCCCGCGGATTTTGCATAACCGCATGATTTATATCGTCATTATGGGGAACGCGCCGTGAAGAACGCGTGCGATTTCGCGCGGTGGAACATTAGAATATAATAGCGGGGCGGCGAATTATCGAGCGAAAAAATGCACGAATAATCGCTGCCGGGTAATCGCGTCCGCATCTTGTATCTCCGATCGATCCGACGCGACACGATGATCGGCTTCTCCTTCCCTTCACACGCTCGTCTCTCTCTCTCTCTCCGGTGCGGTAATCAGTCGCGGCAGACGTCGCTTTACGCCAACAGAATAAGGTCCCAATTTCACCCACGTGGCCTAACTTTAAGCTCGGCTTAATTCACTCTCTGTCACTTTCCAGCTGTTACTTTTGAAAGAGATATGAATTAAATTAAAGACGACGACGTGTCCACGATGCTAGAAGTCCAAGGTCTGGTCCAAGTTTCTAGATCCGAGAAATGTGTAGCCAATCAACTAATAGCTTTATGAAATAGGCTAGATGATTCGGCCTTTAGGGGTGTCCCCTTGTAAGATTAAAGTTAAGCGACGGTTGGTGAAACCGGGACCCAGTAATCGCGCTTACCGATTCACTGTCGTTCGACAGGTTTTAAAGGGCATCGTAAACGGCGCGTGCTGATTACACAAAACGGTATCAGAGGGGGCGGGGAAGGTCAGCAGCTCTAAACGAGCCGTAACCCCGCGGTTCCCACGTATACGTACTCGTCGCGCGGGATGGCATTCCTCGGCGCGAAAAACGGGACCTCGACAATGCGATCGCGGCTGATCGGCGCGCGAACGCGAGCCAACGACAGGTGCGCCCGCTCATGCCTCACCTCACGCCGAGAGTCGACCGGGAAGGGGAATTTATAAATACTCGTTACTTAAATCCCCGCAATTTGTCAGCTGTAAACGATGCCGATTAAATGATCCGCGCGCGCGCGGAGGGAAAGAAAAGAACGGCACCTACCTTTCCCAGAAACTGTCCCTTGTAGTAGGCGTTCCCCTGCACGGGGTCGACGACGTAGTCGCTCTCCTGCTCGGTGGAGTTGTTCCAGGAAGAGGACGTGGAGGGGCCCGGTTTCGCGGCGCCGGTCGTCCTCGAAGCCGACAGTGAAATCGGTACGTTGCCGAAGCGGCCGCCGTTCGAGGTGACATTGCCGCTCGTGGTGGTGGTGGCGGCGGTGGTGGTGGCGGCGACGTTGCTGGCCGACGTGGAGGCGTCCTGAGCCGGGTTGTTGTCGCCCCTCGAAGTCGACGGCTGCGCCGAGGAGGTTGCCGTCCGCGTGTCCTCCTCGTTCCGGAACATCGCCGCCGCGCTGCCGCCGCTCACGCCGACGTCCTTGAGAACGATGTCCGTGGGGACGGCGGGATAGACGATCTGTCGCGAGGACAGCTCGATCTCCGAGGGCAGCGACGTGCCGTGCCTGCGGCTCCGCCGACGCACCAGGCTCTGCAGGGAAGCGGAGCCCTTGGAGAAGCCTGGACGCGGCCGGCCGTCCGGCACCGACCTGGTGCTGCCGGTCCCGGCCGAGTCGACCCTCCGCTTCGTGCACTCCGGCTCCGAGACGGTGCGGATGGTCTCGTCGAACTCCTCGCGGTATCTCGCGACGCGGCAGGTCGCCGCCGCCACCTCGGCGGAGCGCAGCTCGACCCCGCACACCATCTCCGACAGCAAACCGCGCTCGCTCGCGGCCGCGTCGCGCGGCATTGCGGCCTGCGCGTCGATCACGCTCGGCGGTAACATCTCGGCGACGATCGGGGCCTTACGGAGTCGCTGCGTGAGCTTCGTTCCGCCCGGAGAGCTCGCCCTGGAATCGCCTCGCGCTCGTCATCGACTTGACGAGCAGGCGCCGACGACTGTCGCGGTCCGAAGGCCTCGCGGAAGGGATTTCATCTCCGAGCGCATTCGGCCTCGTCGCGGCCGGCGCGCCGACGGAGCGTCGATTCGCAGCTTCTTCTCGCAGCCAGGGACACGCTCGGTGCCGTCATATCTAGATCGACGGGGCGACACGGACGACCGGGAAGCGCCTCCAACTTTCTTCGGACGTCATTGACGTCACGACGCCGACGCGTCGACACGCGTACCCAGATAGCCGTAGGAGGACGACTGTGAAACTCGCGGGAATGGATATCCGACGTTCAAATGGACCTTCGCCCGTCCAAGTGTCCCGCGAGACGGAGAGTAAACCGCGGTGCCGGTGGGTTCTCTCACTCTCGTCGCTTCCGCTGAGCCCACCTGGTCATCAAGGTTGACACGTCACGTTTGTTTTTCGGAGCGAGGCGGGCCGTCCTACCCCCGGCGGGCGCCGCGACGCACGTGCACCTCCGTGGGGCTCGCTCGATAGCTCGCAGCCGCCCCTCTCGCGAGGTGATCTTCGGGGTAGCGCAAGTCGCGCCGACGTTTCCACCGGGAGACGACGCTAGCCGCATCGCGACGCACCGAGGAGGCCGCCTTCCATGGTCGCGAGGGGAGTCTTTCGCCACTCGAGCCTCGGCACTTCACAAGCTTCTTTAACGCGACGAACCCCCGGGATCTCGGTCTCCCCCCCCCCCCTGTCCAAAAGATTCTGGCGACGGTGGTCCTCTCGAGCTCGCCCCGCGAGCTCCTCGGCGACACGCAAACTCGTTCGCGGCGCTCTCGCCAGCTCGCCTCGACCCGTAGCTGGCGTACGACTCGTACGAGCCCGCTCGCCACTGTTCGCCGCGCCGACCCGACGACCGACACCCTCTGCCTCCGCTTCTTCTGCCCCCACCGTGGACGCGAAGCCAGGGGCGTATCGAGGGAAGAGTCGCGGCGCCGCTGGGCCGAAGACGATGGGACGAAGGGTGTCGTCTCCTGCTTCCACAGGACTCGGGTCCCCTCGCCGTTCGTTTCCGCGGCGCGAACGCCGATTCTAAAGCTGGCGCCACACTAGGCGCAATTCGTGACGCGCGATTCGTTGGACATTCGTTATTACTCGCCACACTATTCGTGATTCGCAGTTTATTGTTTGTCATTTGTCGTTTCGTTCGTGTTAACTTCGGCAGATTTAAAGCTTTACCGGTTATCACAGGACCCTATAGTGGCACAGTGCGTGGCTAAACATTCGCTGAACATTGGTCGAATGTTGGTCGTATTAGCAATGCATTGGCCGATATTGTCCAACGTTAAGCCAATATTGGCCATGGAATAAATGGAAATATTGCACGATAATAATTATATAATATTGGATTTATATATTGGGAGTGCATCGGCCAATATTTAACAATGTAATAACAATATTGGTCTAATATTGATGCAATATTAAACCAATAGCTAAATAGACATATTGGATAAATAAGAGAAGGCGTCCATCTCACAATATTGGATCAATATTGGGAATACTACCCTGCCAGAAATAATTGTACAAAATTCTACAAAAAAATATATATGCTACCAGAATCTAAGAAAACCTCTACGTAAATGTGAAAAGTGTTATAAAAGTCAACATGAAAATGCTAGACTTGGAACACTTTTGTAATATTCTACAAGTAAGCAGATGTTTTAGTTCTTTAAGATTTTGTTATTTCTCAAAGTTTTGTACTAATTTTTACAAAATTGTACATTTTCATGAAATACTACTTGCAATAATTTCTTGATCTGAGAGCATTGTAATTTGCGGTACTATTTCGTAGATATTTTTACAAATTTCTATTTCAAGTCAATTTTTTGTAGTTATTTATCGAAATTTTTCCCGCTAGGGTAGATTTATAATACATTATTTCCCAATATTTCCAATATATTGTGCTACTAGGGACAAATCGCGCATAGTGCGGCGCTAGCTTTATTTTCCTCCACACTAGTCACAAATACATACATACGAATCACGAATCGCGTACGGTGTGGCGCTTACTTAAGGATATTCGCGCTTCGTCGCGTTTACGGATACCGCGCAGGAATGGATTCCCGCGCGTTCCGCTCATTTCCCGTCGTTTGCGAATCCCTCGTTGATTTACCCATCATCGAGTTATTTGTTTTAATTTTTTAGTTTTTGTTAATTTAACGGTTTTTCAGCGAATGCTTGCTAAATCATGGAGTCTTTTTCAATATTGCGAGGGAGACTTGTACTTCCCCGGTGGTCATGAAAGGATTACGAATAGCGAACGAAACGATCTCGCGGTTAAACGAATAACGAATGCAGCGTTGAATGAGAAAACGCCGTCCTCTCGCGCGAGCAGCCGCGATATTCGAGCGCAAACGTCAAAAAGTGCAAAGAGGGAGGGCGAGCGCGTCCCCGTGTGTTTTATTGAGACACGCGAGTCGCCGCGTGCGATCGCACGAAAGCAGAATGCGCTGCGTGTGCACTTGGTGCCACTCGTGATCCGTGCATGGCGTGGTGAACGCTAAACACCGCTAAGAATTCTGCGGCGCACCGTGAGAAAGCGCATTGTTTCTGGCACAAGTGCGCACAAAGGAAACACGAAGATCGGCGTGTACTCGCAACGACGAGAGGCGAAATATACTATGTGGCCGAACAACTGGAAAGAGCTATTGTCGAAAGGTGAATCAGTGGACAATGAGGCCTGACAATCGCGAGAGTAAATTTGCGAGAAAGCCTGAAATCTCTCCCCCAAGCGTGACCGATTGAGCACGTTGGATAAGTAATATCGAATCGGTCGAGATCTTACGATCACTGTCGACGTAAAGACCGCGTCAATGGCGAACTGCCACTGTGCAACGCGCCGGGTATTCACAGGTTCGCGTTATCGTAACGCGGGAGTCGCGGAGGATCAGTTTCGCGGGTGAATTTCGAGAAATCGAATCTCGCGTAAGGGGAATCTCGCACGCCGGACTGACTCGAACACGTGTCGGGCGTGGACGAGATAAAGCGCTAAAATCGCGCACGACGTGATCGTGGAATAAATGTCCCCCGCGCGCGATCTCTTTCCGATCGCGAGGAGGCGGCCAGCCGGAACGTTTTCGCTCGCGCTTTTCGCGTTCCCTTCGCCACCTGGGGGTCAATTCTGTATCTTGCGACCAGAGTTGGGAAGTATCTCGTTACTTGTAACAAAGTTACAGTTACAGTTGCTTTTTTTTTTTGGCAACTCTACCTTAACTCCGTTACTTTCTCTACATCTGTAACTGTAACTTAACTCAGTTACACTTTTTCGAGAACTACCCTTGGGAAAATTTACTTTAAATGAAACTCAACTTTTTAAAAGTAAACTTTCACAAATCTAAGAGTTTATACTTAAAGAAGTTAAAACTTTGCTTAAGAAATTTTGGACACTTACAATTAGAGTAATTTTTAGATAGTCAAGCCTGTCGACGTTCCCGCTAGAGGGTCGCGCGGCATAGCACTTTCTCGTAAGAAGAAACTTGCACGCGGTATTATAAATTGTATCACATACTTCTCACAAAATTCTTAAAGTTTCCTTTTAAATTCTTAAAGTAAGTTTTAAGTTTACCTTATATAAAAGTTTAAAGTGTCCAACTTTGCTTTTTATATTTCTTATTTTTCTAAAGAAAAATTTTAAGGTTTTTTTTTAAGGTATATTTTCCCAAGGGTAGTAACTAATTTAATAGTTACATTAATAGTTACTTTATATATTTTTTAAACCCCTACGGATTAGGCCTTGGCTTTGCGCGTAAACGCCTTAATCGACACTCGACAATTCAAATGCAGATTTGCTGTTTTTACTTTCATTGCAAGAAAGTAACAGCAAACTAACGACTCGTTACTTTTTGAGTAACTGTAACTAGTTACATTTTTTTTTTAAGTAACTTTGCCGACCCTGCTTGCAATTTAGTGAAAATGCTAAAAGCGAGCGGCTTCGTCTCTTTCTAAGGGGACAGTTAGAAAGAGACAGAGCTACTCGCTTTTAGCATTTTCACTACGGTGTAAGGTACAGAACTGACCCACTGATTTTATTCGAGAATCGAAACCGCGCCTTACGAACTTGATACGCCCCTGCCCTCCACCATTCGCCTCGTTGTCCCCGTGTCCAAGCTGCCGTCTCCTTCACGCTCGTTCGCCCCGCGATTGCACTTTCTCTTTCCTTCTCCTCATCGGCGCGGCGCGGCGCGGCGCGGAACACGCATCGTTCCGTCATGCGTATTCGGTCATTCACACACGGTATACCTGTTCCAACATTTGAGATGCACCAAGTGCGTATCTAAATATAGGAGCGAGAATAGGAAAGGACGACGGCCGCAATGTCATTTGCTTTCGAGAGAGCGCGCGGAATGAATCTCGAAAATCTCGCGCTCGGAATCGAATCGATTTGCGTTGGCGCGAATTTTTACGGCGCACTCCGTGCGTTGCTCTCAAAACGAATCGTTAATCATTCCGATGAATTGAATGAAAGGAGCCGAAGGAATATCGAAAGAGCTGACGTATTGCGCGATGCACAGTCGCTGTCGTGGCACGTTAGATCGTGTTACTTGCATCGCTCGTTCGAGCGTTTGCGATTCGAGTTCGCTGAATTGGAAGGGGCCGACGATTACTGTCTCTTTTAATGACGTTAATCGTCACGGGAGCCGTCAATTTTTGCGATATTAACTGGGAGAAAGAAGCTGGACGAGCTTTCTAAAACTGCAAATAGATAAACTTCTACTACGATCCATACACGATTTCTCATTTTGACGTGAATCTTTTGGTAATTCGCGATAAGCGGATCCGGACACGCCGCCGAAAGCTCCGAGAATTGAAATTCTGATGTCGACGGGACGAATTATTATCGTTTTCCTCGTGGATTAGATTGCTCTTGACTCTTTCATGACCACTGATGCTCGTTTTCACCAACGTCGTTTAACCTTAATCCTAGTTTAATTCACCTCTTGTCTCTTTCTTAACTTTAGTCTCGATTCAACTTACTTTATATCTTTATCTGGTTTTAGAAATTAGAAAAAGATGAGAAGATAATTTATAAGTCGAGATTAAAGTTAACCTGCAGCGGTAGAAACGGGCGTTAAAAAGAGATTAGAAAGATACAAAAGATGATTTAAACTAACGATGAGATCAGAGGTAAACGACGTTGGGGAAAACCGAGGTATGACATACACTTTCCACCTACGAAATTGAAAAGGACCAATGTCCACTTTTGCCAATGTGGTTTTTAACATTAGTTTCAGTTTAATATACTTTTCATTTTTTTCCAACTCTTAGGTCCGGTTTCACCAAACGTCGCTTAACTTTAATCTTAGTTTAATTCGTGTTTGTCTCTTTCTAAAGTAACGGTTGAAAAGGGACAAAAGATAAATGAAGCTTATAATGTTAAGTCGACGTTGGTGAAATCGGGCCTTAATGATTTATCCCCGTTTCTACCAACGCGGTTTAACTTTAATCTCGGTTCTTACTTACTTTATATTTTCTTCTGGCTTTACGAATTGGAAAAAGTTAACAAGTAATTTAAACCGAGATTAAAGTTGATCTGCATTGGTAGAAACGGGCATTATAATGTATTCTATTTAAAAAAAAACATCAATATCCTAGTAGCATACGATATTTACATCTATAACATAAAGTATAAAATGCATCGAGGATAAAGCCAATACTCTGAGAACATCTCTCCCAGATAGCACAGTGAATTCCCACGGTATCGTTTTCAAGTTTTCTGCCTTTCTGAATTGTAATTCTTTAGGAATTCATAGAAGAATACAATAAGAACCAGTTAAAAACTTTTTCATGCATGAGCATGCATAAATATACAGTATTATATAAAATTATACACCAAAATATGTCCATACATATTTTTACATTGTATATTTCTATACAATTCTTTACAATTCGACACAATTTTATATAATTTTATAGATTTACAGATCCCTAGTAGCACAATATATTGGCGCAATATTGGGAAATAATGTAAATCTTATAGTATTCCCAGTAATTGATGCAATTTTGTAAGATGGACGCCTTCTCTTATTTAGCCAATGTGTCTATTTAGCAACATTGGTCTAATATTGATGCAATATTAGACCAATGTTGCTAAATAGCATAATATATACTATTATATAATAATTATATAATATTAGAATAATATTAAATATAATAATAATTATATAATATTAGATTTATATTGGAAGTGCATTAGCCAATATTTAACAATGTAATAAGAATACTGGTCTAATATTGATGCAATATTAGACCAATTGGCCTAATAATCATAGACCATTAGTCCAATATTGCATCAATATTAGACCAATTAGACCAATATTCTTATTACATTGTTAAATATTGGCTAACGCACTTCCAATATAAATCTAATATTATATAATTATTATCGTGCAATATTTCCATTTATTTCATGCCCAATATTGGCTTTACGTTGGACAATATCGGCCAATGCATTTCTAATATAACCAACATTCGACCAATGTTTAGCCAATGCACTAGGGATGCTTTTATACGAACAATTTTTAAAAGGGGAAAAATTGCTTATTTATAATTACATATAACTTTGTACGATTGTACATAATTATATAGAATTGAAGATAAGCAATTTTTCACATTAAAAAATTTCATATAAAAGCACGTACAAATCTATAAAATTATACAGAACTGTGTAAAATTGTAATATAGAAATATATAATGTAAAAATATGTATGGATATATTTCCTGTATATTTTTATATATAAATTTATATATTTAATCATATTTATGCGTGAAAAATTTTATTATATGCTCCATAATGAACTTCTGACGAATACTTCAAGACGTGCTGATTGTGGCTGCTTCTTCAAGAATTCTTCAATATTCACTCTTCCAATTCTGCAGATATGCTTTAAAATAAATTCTCTATGAACTTACGTTCACCTTTTTGCGCTAGCTGGGGCTTAAGTCTCGGATGGATTCGAAAGAGAAACGTATGCGAAATTTCTGCTCTCACGGAAAAGTCGAAAGTCGAATTGATTAAAAATTCACGCGGATAGCCTGCAACTTTTCTGCAAGAGCAGACTTTTCGCGCACGTTTCTCCTTCGAATGAATTTAAGAATCGAGCCCTTAGGCTGTATACAACGTTCATACCCGATAACCTCCGCGCATTCTCAAAACACGTTACACGTGTGCCAGGGCGAGGACTTGCGAGCAAATTCGGCCACACGAAAGGGTTAAATTCCTCCGTGGGACAAACGAATGTGTACTAACGCGCCCAGGGCTCAGGGGTCGGTCCCGTTAGATCTATAATTAGTCGCCGTCCACGGTGGCCGCTCGATAGAGTTCCATTATTCCCATCGAAAGGGCGCGGGTAGCCCGGGCGCCGCGCCGGAGAGCGGGAGAGGACGCCGCTGGAAATAGCAATCGGGCAAGTGCGACGCGCGAATGAGACAAGTGCGGCGGGAGATTATGGTGGCGCACCTGGTCGCGGCGCGAGTTCACCTAGTGACGAGGACGGCGAGGGGGCAGCGCGACCTGCCGTCGGGTCGCGTACTATTTCCAAGGAGTAGCCGTCCTAGAAAACGTGACGGCGGACGAGAGGGACGAGGCGCGGGGCGGCGCAAACCGCCCGCCAGACGCGTAGTTCACTAACAGCTGGCCGACAGCGATGGACGACGTTTCGGAGTAGCGTGTGGGGCGCTTCGCGCGATCGACGGTGATCGGTGATCGATGACGCTGCGGAAATCTGCCGCGCGCCGAGAGCGCGCGAGATACCCGCGGGGCCTGCGCCACGCCGCCTCCTAATCCGGAACGCCACCCTGGCCGACGTGGAGTCGGTGGAGTCGACAGAGAGGCGACTTTCCCCCCCGAGTCCGAGCGCCGCGAATGTTTTGTTTCTCGGGCACCTAACCTACTTCACGTACGTACGACGCGTGGGAGCGATAACGCTCGGCGTGCGCGACTCGCAACATCGGCGCTATCGCCGCGCGATGACTTCATCGCTCGCCGCGGGCGCTTCCTCGTTCCTTTGTCAGTATCGCCCGTGACGTCCGCGCGCCCCGAGCGTAATCTACGACACACATCCAGTCCGCGGTCAGTCACGGCCACGGGAGGGGGGAGGGGGAGGACATCTCCGGAGACACGGCCCGGCTCCGGTTGATCCTCCTCGAGCTGACGACGCGACCGCGAAGATGCTCCAGCGACGAGACCGCGGCGTAAGACGTGTCCTCGCTGTGACGTACCGTGTGGCTAGCGCGCAAGATGAACTCGCTGCTGAAGATGTCCATAGTGGGCAACAAGAGGAACCTGCTGGTCCGCGACTCCCTCCAGAAGCAGCTCAACACGAGCGTCATGGAGATGCAGAGCGCCCCGGGGGCCGTCGACGACGGCGTCGTCGGCAACTGCGACGAGGCCATGACCCTGTGCTCCATCCTGGAGGGCATATTTCTCCACGGCTTGAAGGACAGCCTGCTGAATCGAGTCACCGAGGCCCTGAGCGGCCCCGACTTCGACGCTATGCCGCAGCCGAGCTTCTGGGGTCCGCTGTTGGTGTTTTCGCATCGTCAGATCATAGACCAGATACAGGCGCTGAGCCAAGTCACCACGGAGGTCGGCTACTGCCGGGCGTGGATACGGCTGGCGTTAAACGAGGGCCTGCTAGCTAGCTACCTTTGCGCGATAAGGCGGGACAACTCGGCCCTCAAGCCGTACTACAATCGTTCGGCCTACATCAGAGACGTGGACCTCGTCGAGGTCGCGCAGAGGCTGATAGAGAACCTGGATTACGTGCGGTTTGAGTTGGCCTGCAACAGCAGCCTGCTCAACTTCTGGTCCACCACTCCTCTGCTCATAGCCGGCATCTGGTCCCCGCCGATGAAATCCTGTCCCGTATTTAGCGCGGTGGATATAGCGAAAACGATAAACAGCGAGTCGACCGATAACTTCGACGACGTAGAAACCGCAAGCTCCATCGGTAGCTCCATCGGAATCGGATCCTTCACTTCCTCGCAGTCTGTGTTCAATAACGTAGCTTCTATCACGGAGGACGAGGCGTTGAAAATTATACTGGCTAAAGAGAGGTCTAGCAATGTTGTTGAGCAGTCGCACAATCCCGAGGATGCGGTAGCGAGCGGCGCGCGGGAAAACAATGCCGCTCGACAGTTACACAATTCTGTAGATACGTTCGCGAAGAATCCGGAGGAGGACGAGCGGGAGGTACGACGGATGTCAAATGGCAGCGCGGGGAATAAGAATGCAGATAATGTTGCTGCTGATACGGACGACTCGCCGTTGCGAGATGCCCCGAGAGACAACGAGATCGTCGGCGACGCCACCGCGGCCACTGTGGGAAATTCGTTGATAGGAAAATTAGGATGGTCGACGTCGTTCGAGGATTGCCAGTCTTCGTTAACTTCACCTGTGATATCCCACGGATCAGGCGCGGATGCGCCTCGCACGCCCGGCGACGGTCCCACGTACGACGCGCTCATTCAAAGTTACCAAACTGCTGGAAACAGCACCGTACCGGACCTGAAAGAATTTCTGAACAAGTATCCAAAGAAAGAAACTGTCGAAGAAGGAACCAAGGCTCAGCCGGAGCCAAAGGTATCGCGGACATTTGTAAACTTTAATGCGCAACGTCACGTTTGTCGTGCAACGGCTAATTTTCTTTTCAATATTCCAGGCTGTGGTGAATTTCGACGAGCAGTTGGGTAATATTCCAAGGGAGAAAGGCTTAGATGTGCAGAATTACAGTTGTCTCGATTGCGGCTACGCGATCGGCATGACCTTCTCCAAAGCGCACGTGTGCGCGTACTCGGGAGATTACTACTGCTCAAAGTGCATAGCAGAGGGGCAGTATCTCATACCGTCGCGCATGATTCACAACTGGGACTTGAAACAATACCCCGTTAGCCGAAAGGCCGCCTCGTACCTGGACGGCAAACCGGTCCTGATGGACCTAAAGATCTTAAATCCGAAGATCTACATGGCCGTGGATACTATGGCGCAACTGCAGTCGTTGCGGATTCAGTTGAACCTGCTGAGAGCTTATCTGTTTACGTGCCGCGAACCCATTATTGAGTCTCTGCAGAATAAGGTTGCACCGAGAGATTATTTGTATGAACACGTTCACCAATATTCCGTTTCCGATCTTCTCGACATACCTAATGGCATTCTCGCGCAACAACTGCAAAAGGTTGTCGAATTCGCGAGGAATCATGTAACAAATTGTTGGCTTTGTAGTCAAAAGGGCTTCATATGCGAGGTGTGTAACGACACGAAGGTCATTTATCCTTTTGATATGGAGTCTACATTCCGGGTGAGCGACACACCGTTCTTCCTGTAATGTTTAACAGAGCTTGGTATCTTGACTTTTTTCATCAAGGATACAGATACAAATTTTCAATGGATTCAGTAAAGAGATACAGATACAAGTTACATTTCGTGAATTCCTTCGAGTTAGATAAAGATACGAGATGCACTGAATTATTTTTCCGGAAAAAGCTAGTATCTGCAACTATAACTATAATATACCAGAGGAAAGTCCTCTATTATGAGATAAGATTCTAATGGGATAGTAGGTTTTCAATATCCAAATTCAATCACAAATCTTTTTTCGCAACGATTACACGATCTTACAATCAATTTTCCACTAAACAGATTTCACTCCACGGGCAATACATTCATGGTGGCACCAACAGATGTTGCCTATTAATTTAACAGAAACTCCGCTGTCTCGTATTAGGAGCCTATCTCATAATAGGGGACTTTCCTCCATATAATATACTTTCAAAAAGATACCAAGCTCTGATGTTTAACATAAAATTTTATAACAATCAATTTATTCGTTTACAGTGTGGGGCGTGTAACGCCGTATTTCACGCGGATTGTTTAAACGCCAGTAAACCGTGCCCAAAGTGCGAACGCAGACGTAAACGGATGGATATGCCTCTTTTGGATATGGGATGTACAGATCTACCCAACAGCAGCGTATCGTCGTCTCCGATTGATATGAATTAATGTATATACATGTATCATTGGTTTGTTAATACTTTTGACAATATTTCTATTATATTTTAATGCAGTATTGATTGCGTAATTTCTATTCCGAAAAATTGACTTTGCCATACGCGATAAGTCGCGGATATCTCCAATCTTCGAAACCGCGAATCTCATCGTTCAATTTTCTCATGTAAATATTTGTATGTACTGTGCTGCGTAAAGATGTACGGAAGTGCATATTTTTTTGTCAGTCCAACTGATATATTGTTATAAATTTACTTTTTATTCTGATACGATTAAAAAGATGTTTATACCTTACAAGACTGGCAGCTTTCCACGCGTGTGCGAAACACATATATAATAGAGACATTTATTATTATAATTTTATGTACAAAAGTAGTAAAATATATGAAATCATTTATTTACCATCCTATCGCTATTTATTATATTTAATACTGTTGCTCTATTTATGTAATTTAATAAATTGACATGCTTTATAAGATTGAATTTACTTGATACGTCCGTACCTTGTGGCACATTTACAAAGTTATTTTGAATATATAAAGATTTCACATTTATACAATATTGCAACTAACAAACAGTTTCTCTCCGGTACAATTTTTATAATAGATATACAATCTAAATCATACACGTGTATAAATATAATAGAATTTTCTAATCTATTATGTGAGGCACATTCTAATGTTTATGTTAAATGGCCTTACTTGTTACAGTACAAGTTGTAAAATTAGAGAGCTCTCTGTATATATTTTTTTCTTTTCATTAACACTTTCATTTATATATAAAAATATTTATACAGTTATTACATAAAATCCACAAAGATAAAATTACTTTCCAGGTACCTATGTGATTAATATGTTTTAAATGTAATTACGAATCTAACGCTAATGGAAATATTAATGATCAGTAATCAGTTGCGTGATAAGCCGTGATCGCGATGAAATGGGGAAATTGTGCCATATTACATTACTCCGTTTCGAATTTGCCGGTCGTAAAAAAATATCTTTTCTAACAATATTTAGCATAAGTCTTCAAAATTTGCAATCGCTTTAAAAGCACTTAGATTTAGAAAGAATTATTGAAAAAAAAACTGCTTTCATAATTAATTATTATAAATTGCAACTCTTGATTTTTACGTTACGTTTATATATTATGCTTCATTATCAAATATAAATTTCATTGGAGTGTACTTTTCACTTTTCGTGTACTTCGTCAAGTACTATTTATATATTAAAAGTAGTTTGTATTATAAAATTACACTAATAATATTGAAGCTAATTAGAGCGAACATAAAAGTATATTGTGATAAATTGAATGATGGAATTTCCCTATCAATATGGATGCATTTTATGCCGTAGTTAACGAGATCGGAGTCTATGTTAGTACAATATATACAAATAATTATATATTATTATTAATCCTACATTGATACATCGATTACATTGACGATAGGCTAACATCGTTTTTGCGTATAAAATGCCAATGTGTAGGATTAAAAATAGTGTAAAATTTTTGTCTGGTAAAAAAGGTCTTGTAAATAATACTAATCATTCTTACAAGTATTTGTACTATCTCCAAGACGGCAAACCTGAAATACTGTCATGCCGATGACAGTATTACACTTTTGTCGTTCCTACGTTTTGATTCTTAAAGTACACCGACATGAGTGGAACTCACCGTTCTCTATATTAATGATCCCTCCTGAATAACAGGTTAATGCAAGGTCTTGGGAAAATACGCCGAAGGTAAAATGGGCTTGTCGGATAAACCTGCTCGTCTCAATCCACCCTGCAAGCCCACGCTTGCGGTTTTCACCTTTGTACCATTCGAGATTACCGCCGGGCCATTGTTATTCTCGATTATAGCCGGCGCCGAAGTCGAGGCCGTTGGATTTCCCGATAACTTATTCAACGAGTTGAAGCGCTCCATAGGCGTGCTGGTACTCGAAATCAGGGCGCTCTTGTTGAAGGTGGTCAATCCTACCGAGCTTTCCGTTACACCGACGCCCATCGACCGAGCCGTCGTGCGAGTGGTTTGATTGATATTTGGATTTTGTACGATTGGATTTTTCATCGGTAATCCCGATAATGTACCGGGCTGTATCGTGCTGGGTGCCGGTGTACGTGTTTCATATCGGTTAGGAAATAACTTATTTGTTCTAGGCAACGTCAGCGGCACGGACGATGGTATCGTAACTGGTGCTGGAGTAGTGGCGCTTTGCAATGGCGATTGATTGTCCGCTAATCTTCGATTCAGCCAACTAATCACTGCAAAAGTAAAAGCATCGTATTGATTTTTTTTCGTAGTCGCGAGGCATTTTTAATAAACGAAGACAAAACAAAATGAGACGTAGTCTTTACCGTTATCATTATTCTTTATGATCTTCTCCTTTTCCTCCAGTTGATGTTGCAATGTTTTCATCTGCTCTTTCAAGTTATCTACCTCGCTCTTCGCATCCTTAGCATCTCTGGTAAGACCCTCCATTTTGGTTTCCAACTGGCCAACTTCCTTCTGTTTGCTGTCTAACAATCTTTCCTGTTCGAGCGCTATGCTCGTCCTCAATTTTAATTTCGACTTGGTCGATGCAAGTTCATTTTGCAATTTAGTTAAGATTTCATTAGCTTTTACCAACTCATCGCTTAAACTTCTCAAGGAATTTTGCTTGCGTTGCAATTGACTGTCCCTCTCAGTCAAGAGATCCTCTAAATGCTGCTTTTGTTCTTTGCCCGACTTCAGCATTTCCAGGTGCTTGTTAATGATCACCGTTTTGTCCTTTAACTCTTGTTCAAGCACAGCTACCTTTGTGCGTAAACTGTTAACAGTTTTATCTCTGTCGTGATAATCTACATCTAATTTGGAGTTTTGCTTTTTGAGAAGTGCCAAGTCTCGCTCGGCGATATTAAGATCTTTCTCGAGATTCTGCAGTTGCTTCGCCTGCTCCGCGTTTGTAGCGTCTAAAAAGGATTGCTTATCTTTATACGTCATATTCTGCGTCCGTAATTCAGCGAGTTCTGTGTGCAATTGTTTCACAGTCTCGGCATGCCTCTGTTCAACTTGTAGTTTTTCCTTTTCACTTTGCCGTTGCCATTCTAGTCTTGCTTGCGCCAGTCTGAAAAAATATTAACAAAACTATCAGTACTTTTCAAACGACGGGTCTGATTAATCTCCAGCAAATACAAAATATGCCTCGTTACAACCTAGTTATTATTTAAAAAGAAAAAACACTTAAGTATGAAACTATTCAGATCAAGAGATATTACTCGTAATCATTTACAATATACACACACACACACCTGTCTTTTTCTATACTTATTTGCTGCGACGAATTAAACTGTATCTGGCTCTTCTCAGTTAGATATTTTTGCTCCAACTGCTCTAGCTCTTTCGTTTTCGTTTCAAGTTTGCCCGTCAAGTCGTTTAATCTAGTCTCTAGACCGACCGCGTCCCTGCTCTGCTGCAAAACACTTTCCTTTAGCTGCTTGATCTTTATTGCCATGTGCGTTTTCAAGTCCGAATCGCTCGCGGGTGATATATTCAAGCTCAAGTGGCACAGATGCTTGAAATTGTTTGTCTCCACGAGCTTGAAGTTCCAATCCCCGGACTCCTCTGCCAGCAGCAGGAGGAACTTTGGCGGGGTCTTGGACAACTGGCTTGCGCCCGGGACGTGACATTGCTCCAACAAGCATATCAGCTGAGTGGCGAAGTTATCGAAGTCAACCAGCAGTCCCTGCTGCGCCTTCAGTACCTTGAAGTCGTCCTCGGTGATGAACAGGGAATAGAGGAAACACGGGTCGTCGTCGTCGGCCAGCAAAACGCACAGACTCTGAAACGAGAGACAGGCGGGTGATATACATTTCACGCGGCAAGACTCGGCAGAGTGCGGGACACTGGGGCGAAGTAAACCAGTTTTTTCACAGACGCCGATCGCGTAAGGGAAGATTCAAAGGGTTCACCCTGCTTAAGCACAGCTGAGGTTCGCAGGCCGTTTCAGAGTGACGGTGGCCCAGTGAGAAATGATTCGTCGATCGACGTCGAAACGATGTCGAGTCGGACGTAAATTCGACGGTGTCGACGTCGATCGACGAATCATCTCTCACTGGGGGGGTTACCTTGCGGCAAACCGGGCTGATGCCAGCGTGAATCTCGACGTTGACACGGAGATCCCGCTGGCGTTCCTCCTTATGCTGCGGCTTGACGTAGATCCTCTGCACCTTCGTGTAGAGGGTCTCGACGTTGTTGAGCTGCAGGCCCGAGTCGGCGGTCGTCGTGCCGCCTGCTATACTGTTGAGATAGTTCATCGTTCGATCGCGCACTCGGCAGGCACTCGTTGACCTCGCGTCGCTCGCCGCGTCTCATTTGTCGACGTTACGGGAAATTCGGCCGGGACGCGCGCGCAAATTGCACGATATTTACGTGGCCGCGTCGCCGCGCTCCGCTACTACGCTCCGCGCTCAGCTCCGCATCGCGCGACACGCAAATAAACGCACGCGTATCAGAGACGCGCACACACGGCGCTTGGTGCCGCCATCTTGACGGCACGCGTCACTACTAACTTGCCTACGGACCGCTAGTTGACGCGGAACGCTCCGGGATCGGGAACGGCCTTCTCCCTCTTATTCCATCCCCGCGTGTGGATTTCCTCTCCCGAGGGACGATTGTACGCGAGGCTTCACGCGGACTCGGCCGGGTGCCGCGTGAGCCGCGGAACGAGAGGCGTCGCGAAGGTATCGACGAAAATCTGGCCTCCCCGCGTTTCAATTTATTTACAAAAAAAAAGAGCGCCATGGCGCGCAGCGTTAGATTCGAACGGCACACCGCCGATTTTCAACGATCTCGTTTAACCCCTTGCACTCCTGTGTCGAGTGTGACTCGACGTCAGGTTTTGTCCCAGCAGCTTCTTTGTCGAGTCTCGCTCGACATTTTTTCAAGTCCAAACCAATAGGCGAAAATAGATGAAATGTAATTCGGAGCGCAAAGGGTTAGCTTTGATCTTACAGCGAATTCGTTTGCTTGCACTAGTGCGCACTAAGGTGCCTGTTTATAGTCAATTTTTATATTCAGCTTTGTCTTAAGTACACGTTCAAAGAGAGCAGCCAAAAATGACTCGCACGGATGCTGTACAGATCGTTTTACTGGCTAGGAAATATTGCGAGAGATATTTATGATACGAATTTTAATCAACGGAAATTGCCGATGTGTAAATTCCGACTATCGACGAGTAAATATTACAATATAATTAGGCACACTTCGCATTTTCAAACTAGAGACAGCAAAAAAATTATACTCGAAGTGACGAGCGACTCGATGCGATGATACGAGATGTGTTCGAATACGAGCATCGCTTAAAGAAGCAATTGTCGTCCGTAATTATCGCAACGAACAAGTAATTTTACCTTCCGTAACCGAGCGTCGATGGCAAATCGCGAGGATTCAGCGATCGCGCGACGATATCGATCGCTAATTATTCGCAGAGAGCGATCGCGGTTTCTCCTCGTACTTGTCGCAAGCGTGTATTAAGAACGAATAATACGAATATGCGAAACGGCGCGGGAACAACCGACTCGTTCGACCGTCGCCGCGTGAATGATACGGCGTGATCCTTTTTTGCCGAGCGCCGAAAAACACCTCGGCCGAAAACCGAGCGCGGATTCCGAGAAATGAATGACGTCGCGCGTAAACAACGTACTCGGCCGTGAACCGAGCGCCGCAACGGTTCCGAGAAATGACGTAGCGCCGTCAACACCTCGGTAAGAACAATCTATTGTACCGAAACTATTCGGCGCGGCACAGTCGAGCGAGACGGACGTGTTTTCGCGTCGCTCCTCGTAACGCGATCATTTGCTACGCAACGCGATCGTCTCGTACTAGAGTTATTAACATTTATTAATCGCGTTGAAGCATTGTGATCCGCAATCGTATCGTTGATTTTTACAATACACGTCGGCGTAATTTGAAGAGAAAATGGGATAAGGGATACAAAAGTGCGCGCAACATAAGTGCGCGTAACATAAGGATTTCCATTTTCGTCGCGTTCGGGAGTGCCGTTTAACAATCGAACTAAAGACTTTTCAAAGCCCATTTGAGGAACAAGTATTCGATAAATGTCAATTCCTGTCGATGGCCACACTTACGAGATTCGGCAGTTTTTGGGACTCGTATTAAAGTGCTTTTGTTCATGGATGCCGTGTCTCAATTTGCTCGTCGACTCGAAGTGGGGGCGAACTCGACGGGATTACAGAATACTTTCAAATGGGCTTTTAAAGCGGGAGTGTAAAATCGCGCGAACGATCTTTGTGCTTTCGCGAGTGTACCTGAGGACAGTCTGAGAGGAGGAGCAGGCCTGGCAAAGGCATCGGGCGCCAGCGGAGCAACTTTACGGTAAATGTTACTTCTCATTTTGTGTAAAAGCAATCCTCTTCCCGGTTTATTGTTGAGTCGGTTTATTGTATAATTCTATAATTTCGCAAGAATAATTAGAGAAATCATTTAAAATTGTATAAAAGTTTATTCTCGCGAAGATCTTTTGCGGAACATCTTTCGCGCGACAATCATTTAAACATCTAACCGAAAAAGTTTGATATGTATACGAATTATATTTTGTAATACTAAGTTTTTTAATACGAATTTTATATTTGTTACAGAACCAGCGTACACACTCCGCTGCTGCGCATCAGACCGGTGAGTTAGAAAATTTTTTATTAAGGCAACGAATCTAAATCTCGTAGATTCGTTGCCTTAAAGTGGATAGACTTACAAAATAATTTCATATTTATTTATTTTAATATATTTCACTGTAGATATTTTCACATATTTTCGCATATTTTCACGCATAATATGACGAATATTACTGATATATTTGTCGAGCTGATCTCTTGTAGTCTATCCATTTTTCGTTAACAAATTTATATATAAAGTGACATAGTATGACGTGAGATTCTAACATTTTGTCGAGAACGCTGAATCTTTATTTTATTTTTATACATTATTTGAAATTATTGAACTAGAATATGCAATTGTCCATCTACTTATCTATCGTACGGAAAGTTTCTTTTCTCTGGATCTCACGTCATGTATTTTGTATGTGTATTTCGCGACACTTTCAAGATGCGTCTCGCATGAATACATGCGTACACCCACAGAAAAAATTTCCGGATCCAATGCTATTACACTTCAATGTATCATAATATAGAATCGCTATAACGTCAATCATATTTATTATAGAGAAAGGAATATTTTAATCTTAAATGAAAAATTCTAAAATTTAGAATAAAATGATAGTATGAATCGTCTTTTGTCGAATATCGCCAATATCGTGCGTTGTAAAATGGAGGGAAAATTTATTTTAAACGCAAGAATATATAAACTTACATTTATATAAGTTACTCTTGTCTCAATATAAGAAGTCAATCTTTTTGAATTCGATAGAGGAAAATAAGAATTATTGATTTTATTTTGATATTGTCTTATTTTTATACTAAATGAGGTTGTGAATATAAATACGTCAAGAATATTTTTTGTCTCGGTAACAGAAATTCTTTCTGAGGGTGTACTTACACGCATTCTCGTATTTTCGCGGTCGGTTTTCGCGATCAGTGTTTAAAAAATTTTCAAAAATAATTAATTGTTTACTTGTATCCATATTATAAATTTAAATTTATCGCGGCATATATTTAAAATAAATATAACGCGAAGTAAATTGTTTTTGTATACATGTATACTTGAATTTTGAATTTGAAGATTGAGTCACGAAGAGACAGTCATTATGTATTCTCTAATAAATAACGGAAGTAAAAATATACTTGAGTAATTTTATACAGAATCATTTTTTAATTAATGTTCTTCTTTAATTAACTTCTCGCGGTCGCGCATTTTGATACGATCGACGCTCGCATATCGAACCGTACGAAATATCTGTCGGTGATAAACCGACTATGGAAGGAGTTTTCTTCCTTCCTGATCTCTGGTCAAAATGACCAGACTGTATGGCCGGGAGCAACGAAAGGTATGTCCAATCTGGCCCAACGAAGGGATACGCCGAGTTAGTGGTCAATATTGGCCACTTTGATGGATTATGTGAATGTGTTGTACGATATATGTTGATTTCTTCTTATGTGCCAAAATTCGGGTGGGTTATATTCTTATCTTCTTTACATATTCTAGCATATGTGCAAGATTAAAAAGACCCCTACTAAATCGCGCGCGTATAACCCCAAATCGGACCTCTTATAAATCGCGTCGCGGTTTATTTTAACGAAAGACTTGTAGGTTTATTAACAAAAAGTTTTGAAACAGTAGATAGGAAAATGGATAAGACTATACAACGGAATACGAGTAGGTAGGTAGGGATTCGGGTGGGCAGGGACAGGGGGACATAACTCGATAATATTGGCCAATGTGCTGTCAATGTAAATGCAATACCGTGTAATTATTGACACGTAACATTGGCGTTACATTAGTATTTAGGTATTCTATATTCAATATTACAATTTTATTCGGCAATCTTGGCCAATACAATTTAAATATCAATCCAGTATTAAATAATCATCTAGGTGCAACATCAGTAGTATATTTGCATTTATTTTATGACCAATATTGGCGTTATATTGGGAAAATATTAGTCAATGCACTGCCAATATAACCAATGTTAGCCAATGTATAGCCAATAAATCATGCTACTAGGGAGGCATTTATACGCAAAAGCAAGGTCTAATGCGATTTGTGGAGGTTTAAAAAAAATATATAAAGTAACTTAATGTAATTATTAAATTAGTTACTAGTTATCGAAGAAATGTAATTGAGTTAAATTACAGTTAGAAATGGAGAGATAGTAACGAAGTTTAAGTTAGAGTTACCAAAAAGAAGTAACTGTAATTGTAACGTACATACAAGTAACGAGTTACTTCCCAACCCTGCTTTAAAAGCAGAGCTGGGTATCTTAACTCTTTTCATCAAAGATACAGATACAAAATAAATCTTCAATTTTATTTCAATGAAGAGATACAGATGCAAGTTACATTTCTTGATTGAATTCCTTCGATTTTGGATATAGATGAGCTCATTATTTTCCCGGAGAAAGATACAAATACGTGTTATATTTCTTAAATTCCTTTGATTTTAGATATAGGGTCTGTTCTTTATAGCTGAATTGGCTGCACTAGTTCAGGCTTTCTCCATCTAATGCGGAGGGAAAAAGAATAAACTCTGAACTGAAGTGCAGCCAGTTTTAAAGCTGTAAAGAACAGACTCTTTGATAAAGATCAGAGCTTGTGGTATGTTGACTCAGTAAAAAATTGTTCATGCATGAACGTGAAAAATATATAGAATTATATAAAAGTATACGTCAAATATGTCCATTTTTATATTGTATATTTCTATATAATTTTGTACAATTCTACACAGTAGAATTCTGAATAATTTTATAGATTTATACATGCTTTTGGACGAAACATTTTTTAATGTGAAAAATTGCTTATTTATAATTTTGTATAATTGTGTACAAGTGTATAAAATTATATGTAATTATGAGTGAGCAATTTTTTCCTATTAAAAAATTGTTCATATAAAGGCATGTATAAATGTAAAAAATTATATAGAACTGTGTAGAATTATACAATATAAAATACAATGTACATATACAATGTAAAAATATGTATGGACATATTTCATGTATAACTTTACGTAATACTATATATTTATGCATACTCACGCATGACAAATTTTTTCATCAAAGCTACAGATACAAGATAAATTTCCAATCGATTCGGTGAAGAGATACAGTTACAAGTTACATTTTTGAATTTCTTCGACGCATAGATGCAAGATGCACCAAATTATTTTTTCGGAGAAAGATGCAGATAGTATCTGTATCTATATTTATCTTGTATCTATATCTGTATTTGTATCTTTTAGAAAATGATACCCAGGCTCTGTTTAAAAGTCGCTTTTCGATGCGTGTGGAAACTTTTTTAAGCCCGTATCAGACTACGGATTGAGATTGAGATTACATTGACCAATTAGAGTAAAATTTACTAATCTCAAGTTTAATGACTTTTACTTTAATTAGTCAAATTTTAATATATTCTCAATCTCAATCCGTAGTAGTCTGATACGGGCTTTACCCGTGTCGCAAATAAATGTCAGAATGACTGGATCGAGGGGCATAAATTGAATATCTTTCAGTTTCCTCTTATTTCGAGTAAATTACACACAGGGTGCAAATTAAATGTGTTATTCAGATTTATCGGTGACGAAAGGGGAGTCGTAGAGCCGGCATTTCGAAACGGAGAGTCGTCTGCGCTCGTCTTCGTTCAAGCATCGGCGCGCAGCGCGGCGAGTCGACGAACGACCGGTTAAAGAACCGCCGCCCTGCTATTCGTTGACTTTCGGCGCGCGGCGGTAACCGAGCGCTTCGTCTTCCCGCGCGGTCCCGCGAGACCGCGTCCGATTGGCCGCCGGCGGGCGCGGCGGCCAATGACCGGGCCGGCCGGGACGGTGACGTAGCGTTTAAAGCGCCGTATGCGCCGAGTTGCGCCTGCGGTCGCCATGCCATGCGGCTGTCCCGCGGTTGACAGGCTCTCGTTTGCGCGGCCGCGCGTCCCCGCGCAGCCGACGGCGGGCGAAAACACTCGTGGTCGTCTTTGACGCGCGTCGACGGACGGCGCCGCGACGTGTCGTGGTGCCGCGGAAGTGTTGAGCGCGCGTGTGTGTGCCGTTGCTCTGTGCGCGCGACGTGTCCGTGGTGAGGTCTTCTGGCGAGAGAGGACGGAGCCCGCGTCTCGACGACGGTTGGACGGTTGGAACACGGCGCGGTGGTTACGGTTCGAACATGACGTCGATGGGCCGACGCACCGGAGGACGCGTGAGTACACCATTCGCTTCTTCCGTAGTAGCTTCACGACGTGGGCCCCTCCCCCCCTGTCCCCCCGTTGGCCCGAGCGTCGCTGGAAAAGCAGAAATTTGCCATTTCCGAATTAAGCCGCGTGTTCCGCAACACGTCGGCCGGTGGTGCTCGTAGCGCCTTTCCGATTCCCCATCTCCGGAGTCGCCACCCGGTACGTGCTGCCCTCCCACGGCGGCTCCGGAACTTGCGGGTTTTATTTCTTTCTATCGCGACACACTGCACACACGCAGGAGGGGGTTTATGTTCGCTATTATACTAATTGCACGAGATACGAGATGTATTTTTACCCCCCTTTTTTTTAACCGATGTAGTTTACGGAGAAAGGAGTTTAATTAATTACCAGTATATATTATGCTTGTAAGTATATGTATATTGTCGTATTATATATACGATTATTTCAATCAAAAGGCACAGTTTTGATACTTGTCGCGTTCGCCGCGCGAATAAATGGGACCGTATAGATATCGAGGATTTTTGACGAATAAAATCGAGTCGAATGTCATTTCCTTTTTTGAATCCGAATCGAACCGAATCGACAAAATTTTACTCGAGTCGAATTAGATCGACTCGCTGAAATATAATTATTATTCAAACGAATTTTATCACGTAGAAATATGAGAATACTTCGATGAAAAGCAACGTTGATTACGTAGCATAAGTTTGTTTTAAAGTGAAAAGCATATTTTAGATATTTAATAGACGCAAAATTAATAAATGAAAAACATACCGTCTTTAATGTCGCGGCAACTGAAACAATTAGGCAAACAGTCGTAGATAAGTTATTAAAATGTAGTAGCCGATAACATTGTCCAGTGCTCTCGATCTTTGGTTTGGACCATAGACACAGTAAAGATTGAGAGAGAAACCGCTGAGGGCATTGTGGTGTACAATTTACGGCATTACTGGGCATCACTAGGCATTTTTGGGCATTAGTTTGGGTATTGTAAAGATAAAATAAGATAAAATGAGATAAAATAAGATAAAACAAGATAGATAAGATGAAATAAGATAATAAGATAAAGTAATACCCACTGGGCATTGGTGTACAAGATTTTGGTCAGCGGTTTTTCCCTCGGTAGAGACCGAGCGTACCATTGAATAAGCTGAAGCTTGTGAAGAGAGAGACGGAGAAGATTTAAAATTTTCTTTCTCTTTACCTTTCGATTTTTTGACCGTGGCTTTCGTCAAAGTGCACCGAATGTGCTCCACATTTTGCAGTAAACACCTGATAACAGGTGCATCTTGTACACGAAGGGCAACGAAATTTGACAAAGTACACGATTTGCCAATCTTTCATTTGTGCACTTGAAAACTGGTCATGCTAAAAAAATCGAAAGGCGATATCTAATTTTGGCCGGCGCTGCATGTGATTCGTGTTCGAACCATCCGGATTCGAAATTTTCGAATCGTAGAAATTCAAGTTTGAACGAAACTCGATCGAACCAGACGAGATTCGATTCCACTCGTTTCCATATAGCTCGCGCATCCTCGGATCGTACGTGTGTAAAGGCCTGCGTCCACGATGCTATAAAAAATTAATAGTAAATTATAAAAGAAAATAATGAAATTAGTGCCAGCAATAGCGGTTAAACTAATAATTTAAAATAAATTGCGAAAACATTAGCTCAATCGTCGCCACTTGGTCCAAGTTCTAGTTCCGAGAAATGTGTAGCCAGTTGCAGTTTTTATGGAATACAGCATCGTGGAGACACGGGCCTCTACGATGCCCACGCACAATTGGGCCGCTAAAAAGGAAAGGGGTGTAATCGGTCCGCGCGCTATCGTTGATTTCCGCGGGGCGGAAAGAAAGGGGGAGAAAAGAAAATACCGCCAAGTCGTATCGCTCGCGACGACGGCTCGCTGGAGGCGTTGCATAAAAGACAGCTGTCGGGCTGAATGTGCCAATATCGAACAGGCGGAAGCCGATATCGCGGCTTCAAGGGGAAGCAATAAAGCGACGAGCGTATTACAATCGGACGCACGTATTCGTAACTATCACTTTCCTACACAAGCCGCCTTTCGCATAGCGGCCAAGGGGTCAGTGCACTTAGGATCTTACCGTCGTCGCGCGAACGCGAGCGCTGACCTGCGCATGCGTGCCATCCGCCGCAATATTTTTCGCGACCGCGTAGGAAAGCTCGCGCGTGTTACGCGAAAATAGACGTAATCGCGCCTCGCTTCTGCGATCGCGTTGCCCGAGTCCGCCTGGCCGGGACTCTCGCGATCGCGGCGAGCTCGACGTCTTTCCTCTCTGTTAATGCTCTCCCAAAGGGAAGAAAGAAAGAAAAAAAAAATACTCGCTGCGCTTCTACAGAAGGCACAGTCTCACGGTTACAACTTGCCAACTCTCCCTGATATTCGCAAGTTTGATTGCAATTTTCCTTCTCTCCTCTTCTCCCGTCCTCCTCGCGTGACTACCTCCTCTACCTTCCGATACGCGCGCCAGTATCGACGAATCAATCCAAGTAAAGAGTGAATAACGGCGCTCTTTCCAAAAGTGAAATTTCACTCCACTCGGGCCGGCAGTATTTTCATTATTTCCTCGGGGTGAAATCTCACCCCAAAATTCAGCGAGTACCGTGTGCGTCTCGACAGAAGGCGCGGAGATGAGGAACTTTAGGTTTAACCGGCTCGTGTTCCTTTCGATCCACCGCGTACGCTCTGATCGACAGAGCGTTTTCCTCCCAAAGAGGCGAAAGGTCGGCACTCTACTTGTCAGCTGGAGCCGACCGTCCCTGGTGTTTTTTTTCCCCCCCGGGAAGGGCAACGGGGTCTAACCGCAAAAGTGGGGCCTAAGACTCGGTTATGAAGCCGTGACTCATCCGTGCCCGTTCGCGATAATGGGGCCGCTTATTCCGCGTTTCGCAAATTCGCGCATCTCGAATGCGCTCCGTTACGCGCGCGCGTTCGCCAAGTCTTTGTTCGCCGCGCTCTCCCCCCTCCTCGCCGCTCGTAAAAGCGTCCCCCCCCCCTCCTCCCCCGCCCGGGACCGCCTCTCGTCGAGGATGTGCCGGCGAGCTGCGGCATTCGGACCGGAAAAATTGGATCCGACCGGTGAGATTTTCCTGCGGTCACCCCCGCGCTCTACACGCGCGTTTCCGCTCCACTCCTAGCCGTGTCGCGGCCAGCCTCCACGAAAGCTGCCTGGGCCCTACAGCCACCTGCCTCGCTCGCAAAGGGAAGGAGGAAGGCGAGCCAACAGGTTTTAGCCGACGCACCTGATCGGAGCCGAGGAGTACGCGTGGCTCGGCTCCGTCGGATGGTTCGACGGAGTTTCTTCTTATGCTCCTTTTCCACGTAATATCTCCTGTTACCTCCGGGGCCCGTAATCGGCCCGGGTCCGCGACGCCCTCGGAATTGGTGGATGTTGCGTCGACGCGTGCGCGACGATACTTGCGCCGGAGTTGCGCAAGACGCTCCGCGATCGGATGCGATGCTCCTCGGCGCGCGTGCAGCGTAGGTGCCGCGCCATCGGATTCCGAAACCCCGTGTGAAGTCGAGCACAATTTCTTTTGATTGAGGAGAACCCCGTTTTCCTAGAAACGCGGGAAAAGCGGAGAAAGTGCGGCCATTGCGCGCGATGTCTATGTAGATTACGCATTGTCTACGTCTAGATTACGCATCAACGATAGTCCTGGCGCACAGTCCACACGCGAGCGTGGATTGTTTGTACTCGCGCATAGACGCGGATAGCGCGAGCTATCGATCGTGAGCACCACTGCTGCGTCGCTGACTGGCGCTTTAAAGAGATATGCCCATATCGCTCGCGTCGCCTTAAGCCCGCGAGAGAGAAGAGAGAGGACCGGAGGGCTCTGGAGGAGCGTTATTTGGATGGTCTACAGCTTGGTGAGAGACCTGGCAACTACGCCTTTTCTCTCCTCTCTCTCTCTCTCTCTCTCTCTCCCTCCCCCCCCCTCTCTCTCATTCTCACAAATGCGAATGCGAGAGACCGCGAGCCATCATAAAATTGCCGATTGGCTTCGAGGTCATCGGCGGGAGGAATCGGCTTCCATCGTGTTGCTTTTTTCCACCCATCATGGATTTGTCGAAAACTATTCGTCCGAGAGTCGCGCCGTTGTCCAGACTCCTGCGTTTTCACCTCAGGAGAGGATGAATTCGACCGCGCGTGGTCCACGCGCGAGACGCCACGGGATCGATCAGAATCGACGATTCGTACGCTGAGAAAAATGTCCGATTAAATACGATCGGATAATCCAGTTACATAATAACAAACGGATATATCCGATTAAATTGTATACCCGGTGAAAAATGTGTGATCGGTTTTTCGATCAAATTTCATCGGCAACTGCATTTCTCACCGGACATTTCGTTGGATGTATCCACAATTTAATCAGAAAAATTAACCATCGGAAACACTACTTAATTGCTTTATCCGATGACAATTTTTCTCAGTGTAGTACTCTGGATTTTACCATAGCCTATAATCTTTTTTTTTATATTCTTTCTTGCAACTTGTAATAACATTTGACTGGGAAGTTTCACGCTCAAGCCTTGAGCGTTAAACATTGCGGTCGTGTGTTTTAAGAGCGTGTAAACGGACTCTGCGCGGGCGTCGAAAGATTCTTGACGAAAATTCAAGACGTAAATTCAGCTCACGTAACTGTAATTGTGATCTGTGAGTTGTGTTAGCGGTTTTACAGCCTATCTACGCTCGCTAGAGCTATGATGGCGTTCCAGTTTCGTACGTTCATTTTGCTTAAACGTCTTGTATCGCCAGTCTTGCGGCGTGCAATTTCGTAGATGATCTAATCTCCGAAGGAAATTTCAAACCACAGCGCGTGAGAGATAGGAATGGCGGTACGAGGTCGGTCGCGCATGCTCTTTTTTTTCGTAGAAATGCCAGAAACTCGATTATCGTCCGCGACGTGCGACGGTAGGCGCGTCAAAAATATGCGAGAGCTCTTGTTTTCGTGTCGCATTAATCATTCGTGCGCGTA